TTCTGTAAGTATTTACTTATTTGTGATGTGCAGTGCCTTGAACCCCTTGTACTAAGTTGCTTTATAAATTCAAATTATGACTATTGCTGCTGTGAGATATTAAATAAAGATTTGTAGAAAGTATATGACCATGTTAACTGAGGTCGTTTGGGCACCTGGTAAGGATGCCCCCCCGATAAACTCCCCCTGAACTCTACCGGGCAGCAGCATGTCCCACTGGGCGAAGACCCCGGGGCCGGCCCAGCACACGCTGGCAGGAGGACTATGTCGCTCGGCTGGCCTGGGAACGCCTGGGAACTCCCCAGGAAGAGCTCGAGTCTGTCGCCAGGGAAAGGGAGGGAGGTCTGGACCGCCCTACTCAGCACGCTGCCGCCGCGACCCTCACCAGGACAAGCGGATTGAGAAGCGAACGAACGAACGAACAAATGGTGGTCCATCTTCTTGGTTCTTTCGGTAAAGTCACGTAGAAGGGAAATAATAAAATAATACAAATTAAACATCATAAAATAATTCTCACGACGTTTCGGCCACAACGCAAGCAGCCGTCCGGACAGGTGAAGAACAGGTCTGTCGGAAAGACAGCGTCTGAATGAAACACCACCAGGCTTGGCAGCGTATATTTAAGCTGGGTTGGAGGGGGAAGAGCGCCTTGACAAAATAATTTGCATATCAAGAGGAAAAAATGGTAGTCCACTTTACTCCAGTGACCCGGGTGCTGCTGCGGGGTCCACTCTCTGCCCCACCTCCTTCCCCCCCCCAATTCTCTACCCCCACCCCCCTACTGCCGAGGCCTACAACACACTACGCTATGCACTATACACTACACTATACACTACACTATACACTACACACTACACTACACACTACACTATACACTACACTACTACACACTACACTATACACTACACTATACACTACACTATACACTACTATACACTACACTATACACAACACTATACACTACACTATACACTACACACTATACACTACACTATACACTACACTATACACTACACTATACACTACACTATACACTACACACTACACTATACACTACACTACTACACACTACACTATACACTACACTATACACTACACTATACACTATACTATACACTATACACTACACTATGCACTACACTATACACTACACACTACACTACACACTACACTATACACTACACTACTACACACTACACTATACACACTATACTATACACTATACACTACACTATACACTACACTACTATACAACCTCGTGCCACGGCAGGTCTCTCGCCTACTTCAGCAGTTTTGTCTTGCTGTGGTTGTCCCACCTGATGACGATCGCTTGTGTTGCGATCGAAACGTCGTGATCTAGTATTTTTCTACCTACGTGACTTTACCGAAAGAACCAAAGAGTATAAATGTTCAATGTATATCGCACCAGATTTTAGATTTGCCAGCAACTACAGGCATGGCAAAATAGATGACGGTGCAAAGCCTGCAAGTACTTTCTGGCAGAAGGCCCCTACTGGAAGGAACTCTACATAGTCCCCTCTAGAGGGTTTCTGGCCTCCTCTTCCATACTGGTCACACGTCCTTGGCAGAGGTGTGAGGACCCACACTTTACACGACCGCACGTGACCTGGCAATCAACTAATAGCGGCCCTTGTTTGAAACGAGATTCAATTGCGTTCGGAAGCTTTTTAAATCTTTATATTAAGTTCACTTGCTTGCTTGCGCGCTTACGACCGTGCAAATCTTTCGGTCGTTTTTTAACCCACTTCCCGTGATCCAATCGAGCTGGCATTTTGCACACAGACTCGTTGTGCGTGACAATTTATTTTCGTGAAATTTTATTTTCCAAAATTTTCCATTTTTTAGGAAAAAATGTTTTTCATATTTAATTTAAAATACCAATGTGATAAAAATGAAACTCTTAGTCAAGAAAAACAGAAATGAATAATAAAATAAAGCCGATGCCACGCATATAAAGGATTTATAGTGAAAAACTTTGTTTTTACGGGTTAATTTTTTTTAATTCCAACTCGCGTTGCGCGTGACTTTGCTGGACATTACAAATGTCTCAATAAAGTACTTTCATCTGCGGTCAACCATCTAATAGGATGTTTGTAGAGCAGAGACATACACAGATGATGTTCGATAATGACGTTGAACATCACTTTGAACTGAACATTCCAGTAAACTGGTTGTGAAACTGTTACCTAAACTAATACATTTGCATGCGGATTATAACATTCAATTTAGTCAAATAGTGTGTTCAAGAAGTCACACACAATAAGACACTACAACTGGGAGTCATGAAATATATAATTTCAAGTCCATCTTAAGACGCTGTACAAAAACTAAGATATGCACATCGCAGGGAACGAATGAAGCAGAGCGATATTCGTCGATAAACACCAACATCGGCATGCATTTTATATTTGTTATAAATGCGTACACAGTAGCACGGCGAATACTGCCTAACAGCATATAATCAGGTCCTAGGATCTGCACTCAATCTGTAAATGCATACGCTGCACTGTCACAAAAAAAAATCATGAAATATAAATCATGAAATTAAAATGACGTCAAAATGTGATTGCTGCGCAGATTAATCTAATTAAAATCAGGCGTGCATGCGGCAGCCGATAATGCAGCCGTATCTGCCTGCTGTCTTCTGTTGCTTCAGAGTGCTCCGTCCAGACATTTAGGGACACAGCGAGGCGGGGGAGTGAAGGAGGAGGATGAGGCAGTAACTTAATTTGAGGGTGGGTAGTGGGGTAGACTTGCTGAAACAGATCCAGAAACTGCGTGCCTTCCCAGCCCACTCGCAACCATTATCCATGGCAACAAATGGCCAGTGGTACACGGTTTGTTTGTTACCCCCCCATGTTTGAGATGATGTTTGCCTTCAGTTTGCTGTCACTGCTTTCGCTTGTGAACACACGGCCAGTGACAGCCGAGGGCTTTTCGTCGTCATTCGGTGGATCGGCGAGTTCACGCGACAAGGAGCGGCGTGCACACGCGAGGGGTCCACGTGCAGGCCTCGCTGTGCACGCCACACACGAAGAACCAAGCCGGCAATACAAGCGAGAGCCGCTCTCGATCGCCACGAACCACACACGCATACAATCCGGTCATCTCCGCAGCAGCAACAGCAGTGGATTTTGGCTAACCATCGAATTTCAGATGGTCACTGGCATGCTGCACTTTCAGATGCGCTTCTGCGGCCGTCCCAGACTCTCTTCATTCCGATCTTTGGAAGCCACCGGAGCTATACACTTTTCGTATGGTTGGCTACGTACGGTGCAAATGAAGTTCAACGTACATGCATACATCATCAGTCACCCCACACTGGCGGATGAACGCGACTAACAGCCTCAACAAACCAAACCAACGTCTCTGTTCACGCTGCTACGTCTGCCCACCGGCAGTGCATGCCAGCGGATATCATTAAACATTTACGTAGCTTAATGCGTATTAACAAAAAAAAGTAACTACAATAATGCAGCATGTGCAAAACAGATTAGGATTAGCAACAATAATGATATTTCCAATTGTTTACCCGAGAGAGAGAGGCCTCTCTGAGTTTCAAGACTGAGTCTTTGCAGGGTTTCTGCATTTGGGTGTTTGGCGAAGCCCCATCCATAAATGTTTGGCATGTGAGAGGTGACCGGTGCAACCACAGCAAGCCCGAGCACACACACACAGCAGTAACACTCTTCTACTCTGAGTGATAAACGACCCAAATTTAGACTCACTGCTTCCTACATTTCTCTTCCCCCCCCCCCCCCCCATGGCTTCCCTTGCAATAGCAAACACATCACCTTGATGGGCGCTCACATGGGTTGCATAAAGGACGTCGGCATTCCCAGACGGGTGAATAAAACTGGTGCTCATCACGAGCGCATGGGCGGATGCTTGCTGAGGAACAGAGGACGTGCTTGCACGAGGGCAGACAGGTGAGGGGGACATAGACGCGAGTGGGCACGTGGTGGAGGCAGGCTGTGACTGTGCATGTGCGTGCATCCGATTCGGTCAACCCACGGCACCTGAGTGGGTCTGTCCCGTCAGCTCCTGTCAGCGGAGCCTTTCGACACTTCACGTCGCCTCTAAATGCACCTAGCCTGGCACAAGCGAAGTGGAGACGTTAACCGCCACTTAGTGGCGATTGGAGGGCCGTGATAGTTTGGCTTTATGAACCGGAGTTCGTTTCGCTTCAGCGGCTAACGCATATTGGCGATCACCTGAACCGATCCTGGGCCTTCCTTAGGTTTATTCAGCCTGAAGTTATTACCTGCTGCGTGCGTAAACGTCTTCACTGGAAAGGCAAAGGCGGCCAGCCGTAGCGCTCACCGCATCACCCCTCTGCGCACCGTGCCGACCTTGACAGGTGCTTCCAAGCAGCAATTGGCCCAACAGTTTACCTGGCTGTAAGGCTGTAAGGGGAGTGGGGGGAAGGTGGATCTTTGTCTTGTGTGTGTTGGTGCATACAACAAATGATCCTTATGGCGGTACCCCGGGGTACCAAATAATACGAAATGGCCGAGGCAATTAAATATTTTATTTCTGGGACACTATTTTTCTCCAGGGGTGTACTTAACTCCACGACTGGGGTACCAATCAATCCAAAATCAGTGCCACACTCCGCGATGTAGAAACGCGGCGAGGACGATTGCGCCGAAACACTGAACGCTCGCGGTACGCACCGTGGCGGTGCATCGTGAGTACAGCTCGTCGAGATGAGTCGATTGCCGCATGGCCGACCATCAACAGCGTAAAAACGACTGCATCACGGACATTGTGCGAGAGCCGGGGTACTACGGTACCCCGAGGTACCGCCATAAAGTTAATATAACGACGCAATGCCCGATCCGCAAACACGAATGAGACATCACAGCGATGCACGACTCCGCGGTTATCCGGCTCGAACACCCGAATGCCAAATCGTCGCCGTTAGCTCTGCATCCACGTCATCAGCTGCGCGGAATCAACACTAAGAAGGTGCGTACCTTTGCTGAGAGATGGGCTGGCTGTCGCCCGGCGAATCGCCTTCACCCACTCCTCCATGTCACCCTGGCTGCTTGCCATGAGCAGATACGACTCGTGGTTTGATGTCATCCGATCGCGGTCGGCACCTGCGGCACGGGACGACAGCGGCGACGGCCCGTTTGGCTTCAGAGGCGCGGGAGAGGCTTCAGAGCGGCGCGCATTTGACCCATCGTCGTGACCGGGTGGTAAAAATGTGCGCACGACAATTGCCAAATAACGCACGAGGCCAAGGTCGTGGCCACGACGTTGGGATTTGTTTTCTTAGGTTTTTTCGGTAAAGTCACGTAGGTAAAACACTATTGTTATGTAGGCCAGGCTTAGTCACAAACCGTACCTCTCCATAACAAAGGCTCAGCCTCTTAAGCCTCACCTTACCATATTAATAAAAAAGTGTGCCGTACTTGGCCCTTCCCCCCTCTCCAACCATTATATATACGGAGTGGTAGCTCTTGTAATCTCTCATTTACTTGATTCAGCTGTCGTGGCTGTGACGGTTCCACCTGAAGACGGAAGCTTGTGTTGCCTCCGAAACGTCGTGATTTTTATTTTATTTGACTTTTATTAATTTTAATGTTTTACCTACGTGACTTTACCGAAAAAACCTAAGAATATGAATCCTTGCAGTCACGAAAGCTTCAAATATAGAATGAGTTGGGATTTGTTTGAGCGTTACCAGAATGATGAACTTTGTTTCGGCTGGAGGGATCCTATGAGCTGTTTCGGCTCGTTTTCACGGGTGTCCAGTATGGGCGTGCTGGACAAACCCCTACCACTGTTTCCAAGACGATTACAAAAAGCCAGACCCCTTCTGTGGCTTCAAGAAAAACATTTTAATGAAAAAAAATGCGTATGTACATATTAATGCGGCGAACAAATTATTGGATGAGCTTAGTGTATCCCAATATTTAAAATGAAGCTCTTGCTTTTGTAATTGATGGCACTTAAAGAAATGATGTTAAAACGAGCCCAAAAGTTGTCTCTCTTCCACGTTGCCCCCATGTCGCCATGAACTGTTTCCCAGGGTGGCCCATGTCAAACTGTGTGCAACTCTCTGAGCAAAGTGGCCGGAGCAGCCCAGCTGAAGTGGACCGCATGGCCCACTTGGACCCCAAACGTTGTCCACAGAATGCTGCCGTGTCTGGCTATCTTGAAACAGCAGCGTGGAAGCGTGGAGTCGATACGCCTCGTGCTAAATCTCAATGCAATCTGCTAGCAATTAACGAACGTTGCGTCACCATGAGTTTCAATCCATTCCCTCTCCGATGCCCCCTACTTACGGCATAGATGAAGAGATGAAGGTCATGGATAGACTTTACAAATGGATGAAAAGCATCTTAATCAGTTAATAAGCATATCACAATCGAATCGTGATTTTTGCTTGGCATATATTAAAGCGGTCCAAAGAAAAGATTCTTGAATAAAAGAGCTTTCATAAAATGTACCATACAAGATGAACAAGCATTGAAGGAAGCTTTTTGATGATGGCTTTGATTATAAAAAAAAATCTAACACGTTCTTTTTCATGAACAGGGATTTAAAAAATATAATTGGCTTTGTAAAAGTAAATACTGCATACATTTAAGAATACATTCAAGCATCAAAAAGTATAAGAATAAATGAACAGATGATTTAAAGTTGTAATCCTATACCTTAACGAAGAGCAACACACAAACACCCATGCCCAATTGAGCACGGGGTCATGGTCATCGCCTGTCTAAATCCCATATTCCTATGGCGGGGGTGAGTGTTTCCACAGGACAACCATTGTTTACTTCCCCACAAAGTGGCACGGATTTTATCGACCCCAGACGGATGATGAGCCGAGCCAAACACCTGACTGAGAAATGAACTTAGAATCTTTGCGATTGCAAGTCACGCACTCATCCCCCATGCCACCCGTCTCAACTTAAATAATGAATGTATAGGACAAAATCAAAACTACTGAGCTCATATGGGAATAGGCCTCCTACTTCCCCAACTAGGCACGAACAGACGTATATTTGATGTAAAACAACACGTAAGGCACTGAAGTTTCAAAACATGAATAAAATATATGCAAAGTCGTACAATAAAAAGATTTGTCTCATAGCTTTTCTACCTCGAGTAAATGCACAAATCTACAGCTCAAATAAGCATACTACTTAAACATCTCTGCAGTACAGTGAGGTCTCAGAGTACGTGGAGAGGGTTAGCAATAAATTCGCGTAAGTTGGGGGTTGCCTGTACAAGTGACCGAACCACAAATCGGGGTCGGTCACGTATGAGCGAGTCCGCGTACTCTGAGCCCCGCCGTGTACTCGGAGACCTTAACGCATCAACCAACCGCTTCACATTCGATTTAGGAGTCCAATTGGCGATGTGAGTGGCTTTTGCATAAACTTTAACTTGGTCCTCTAGGCTTACAAAAAAATAAATGCTGGTTTCTTATCGGAGCAAATGTGGAATTGCGGATTCCCAAAGGCGTTTGTCACTTTACTCACGCATTTATGAAACACGGGGCAGAAATATCCCATCACCGAGCACGCTGAGATATGTTATTGCTATTCATAGCACTTTCACTTCACCGCTTTACGTGGAATAACTCGCGGCTGCTGGAAACCCGATGACGTTTCAGCCGAACAAATATTTCTTCATCGGGAAGAAAACAAACTATACAGGCTTGATTTGAAGCTTTCGTGAGTGCAGGAATTACTCTTTGGTTCTTTCGGTAAAGTCACGTGGAAATAAAGTGAATTTAATAATAGAGTACGACGTTTCGATTGCAACGCAAGCAACCGTCATCAGGTAGAACTACATTTGAGAGACAAAACGCAGACACGGAGACACACAGACAGACACACAAGCAGTGTCTATGTTGTGTGTCTCTCTCTGTGTCTCTGTGTTGTCTCTCTCTGTGTCTATGTTGTGTGTCTCTCTCTGTGTGTCTCTGTGTTGTCTCTCTCGGCTTGTGTGTCTGTGTGTCTATGTTGTGTGTCTCTCTCTGCGTGTCTCTGTGGTGTGTCTATCTCTGTGTCTATGTTGTGTGTCTCTCTCTGTGTGTCTCTGTGTTGTCTCTCTCTGCTTGTGTGTCTGTCTGTGTGTCTCCATGTCTGCGTTTTGTTTCTCTCTCAAATTTAGTTCTACCTGATGACGGCTGCTTGTGTTACAATCGAAACGTCGTACTCTATAATTAAATTAATTTTCTTTCTATGTGACTTTACCGAAAGAACCAAAGAGTAAACCATACAGAGTGTCTACGCATTATTTAAGATATATAATTAGGTGGCAGTCTGAGCTAGGTCTACAAAACAATATATACATTTGTGAACACATGCGAACTTGGTAGTTATCGTGCGATTCTAATTCCGCTAAGCCTCCGCGAGTTCACTGCCGTTGATGGCGCCGCACGCCCCATCCAGAGTCCCGCGTGGTTCTGCCAGCGTCTCGGCTGTGGTTGTTCCGAAAGCTTCCGCCGGGTTCCGTTTTAGAGGTCAACGGAGCCTTTCCTTTGTCGCCATACACTTTTATCTCTCACGTAAACCCAAAAATGCTCACGACACGCACGTTATAAAATGATGAACGCTACCTTGTATGGGCACCCAACTTATTTACGCTCATCAAGATTCTGCCAAAAAAAAAATCCGCAAAATTGCGCTGTCAACATCGACGACAATGTGACAGCCCGGAGAGAGAGAAATGACATCCTTTAAAATCTTTCATCGTCAAACAAGTGGTGCAATTTTTTTGTTCCACCTCAAGATAAAATGTTCTTCATTCACGTCTGTTAAACCTTGCGTCAACTGGCACGCTTAACATGCACGGACGCGTACATGCGGGTCGTGTGTGTGTCTCACGTGTAACCCTGCATTGAACGGAAAGAAAGATAATGCCTAATGTGGCAGCGTCCCACCGTTAATCCAAACTAAAGTTTAAACTATTTTTTATCTTATCGAGCTCTTTTTCAGAAGCAACCTAGCTATCACAAATGGTAGCCCAACGAAGCGACCTATCAGGTGGAAATTTAAAGCAGCCAATATTCTCTAAACGCGTGATGTTGATTTTAAATGTAGAGGGAAAAAGTGGAGGACCCAGAGAAAAATCCACACGACCACGGAGAGAGAGACATGCAAACTCCAAATATACAGCAGGCGTCAGGGTCGAGATCGAACGCACGACCTTCTGTATATCGGGCGAGGTTGTTAACATCTCGCCACCTTGATGATGATGATGATGAGAGAGAGAGACATGCAAACTCCAAATATACAGCAGGCGTCAGGGTCGAGATCGAACGCACGACCTTCTGTATATCGGGCGAGGTTGTTAACATCTCGCCACCTTGATGATGATGATGATGAGAGAGAGAGACATGCAAACTCCAAATATACAGCAGGCGTCAGGGTCGAGATCGAACGCACGACCTCCTGTATATCGGGCGAGGTAGTTAACATCTCGCCACCTTGATGATGATGATGAGAGAGAGAGAGAGACATGCAAACTCCAAATATACAGCAGGCGTCAGGGTCGAGATCGAACGCACGACCTCCTGTATACCGGGCGAGGTTGTTAACATCTCGCCACCTTGATGATGATGATGAGAGAGAGAGAGACATGCAAACTCCAAATATACAGCAGGCGTCAGGGTCGAGATCGAACGCACGACGTCCTGTATACCGGGCGAGGTTGTTAACATCTCGCCACCTTGATGATGATGATGAGAGAGAGAGAGAGACATGCAAACTCCAAATATACAGCAGGCATCAGGGTCGGGATCGAACGCACGACCTCCTGTATACCGGGCGAGGTTGTTAACATCTCGCCACCTTGATGATGATGATGAGAGAGAGAGACATGCAAACTCCAAATATACAGCAGGCGTCAGGGTCGGGATCGAACGCACGACCTCCTGTATATCGGGCGAGGTAGTTAACATCTCGCCACCTTGATGATGATGATGAGAGAGAGAGAGAGACATGCAAACTCCAAATATACAGCAGGCGTCAGGGTCGAGATCGAACGCACGACGTCCTGTATACCGGGCGAGGTTGTTAACATCTCGCCACCTTGATGATGATGATGAGAGAGAGAGAGAGACATGCAAACTCCAAAT